CAAAATGCTGCCACGAATCGCAGGCAAATGAGCCCGCTAGCCATTGGCTCCCATCTGCGGCTGCTGCAGAGCAGCGAGTCCGAGCCCGGTCCCGCATCCGCACTCGCATCCGCTTCCGCATCCGCATCCACATCCGCATCCGCATCAGCCTCTCGCCGCGTCTCCCTGTGTGTGTGCCAGTGTTCAGCCGCAGCGGACCGCCAGCAATTGCAGTGTAAGGCGTCCGCCAATCGCATTCCAGCAAACTAATCTAAACGGCGCCGAGTGTCGCATCTGAAATTGAGTTTCGTTTCCGGTTCCGCCGCGCGTGCAGTGAAGTTCCGTTCCGTTCCGGTCCGGTCCGGTCAGGTCGGTGGATCGGTCGTCCGTTCAGGCAGTTTTTCCTGCTCAAAAATTGATGACAGCAGCAGCCCTGTAATGTAAGTCGCCACCTTCCCTGCAGCACGAGGCCCCCAAAATGTGTGCTACATGATTCCTGCTTAACTGTTGCTCCAAACTGCGGCAGCGTTCAACGCCCCAGCCAGGCAGACATACAAAAAGGCAGACAAGCAGACGAGCGGACGGACGGACAGGCAAACAGACGGACGGACAGGCGAACAGGCGAACAGGGGCATCGGAAATGTGTGTCAGTGTGCGAGCTCACTGTACTTCAGTATTGAGGCGAAGGCAAGCTCCGTGTTTATGCCAGACCCATGTCCTGATATCGCCGAGAAAGAAGCATCAAATGCGTGGAGCATTTTGGATAGATGTGTATCTACAGGAAGTGGCAGTGTGTTTGAGAACTGTGCCACTCAAATGTCAATAAATAATGGTCGTCCCTTCGCCTTATATTATCACTTTATAAGTTCTTGTATATACACATTTAGCTAAAAAGTTCAGTGAGTGCTAAAATGCTTTATCAAGCAGCCCATATGTTCCATTTGATGGATTTTAAATACTGAGATACATTTTAGAACGCCACATCGCTACCTATGAATGGTGCGTCTGCTAATTTAATCACAATTCAGTGACTCGTGTAAACAAATGTTGACTTCGCTAGGCTCACATGTCTGGGCTGCCTTTGCTTTGTGTTGATTTTCTCGTTTTATTATTACCTCAAACGTTTTTCTCGTTTGCTCTAATGAATACGCTCCGACCTGTTATCCCAGTTTCGCCAGTCGCCTCCTTCAGCTGCTTCCCCCACCCATTCCTGCCCCATCTACTTGCAGTCACCTGCCACCTGCAAGGTAGCACATTACCCATACGCCCCGTACGCCAGCCAACCAGCCAGCCAGCCAACCAGCCAGCCAGTCAGCCAGTCGGTCTGACAGACAGACAGACAGTCTCCTTCGGCTTGGTTTCCCTGCTTTTCTTTTCGCTTTTCGCTTTTCCTTTTTGTTTTCGTTGTTATTGTTTTTAACGCAAATTCCCACTTGCTTAGTTGCCTGTTCTGCCTTGTTTTTGTGTGCCATTGTCTTTGTCCTGACACACAAATGCTACTTTTTATATACATATCTATGTGCACGTATGTGTGTGTGCATTTATATACTATCCGGCAGCGCCATCGTCCTGTTGTTGCGCAAATATTTGCCTTTTTTGAAGTTGATTTTGGTCTCCGTCTGAGCGCCTTTTGTTGCCATCTCAAGTTCTCAAGTTCCGGAGCTCCGCCACCCCAAAAACATCCCACTCCGCGCCAATATGCTGATGAATCGTTGCTAAATTGAATATCGAGTGTTTATTTATATTGGCCGGCAAGTGTCACGCCCGCCAGCCAGTCAGCCACCAGCCACCAGCCACCCGTGTCCATTGAGTCCGGCAAACGAAGAGGAGCTCTGCAAATAATTTGAAATTGATGTATTATCTCGGAGGGAACGTGGCACAATTGTCTCAGTCAATGACCCGCTCGTCCTTTCATCCTGCTGCACGCTTAAGTAGTTTGTGCAGCGCAAACAAAATTAAGCAAGTTGCAAGTTGCTTGGACAAAAGTTGCCGTCACAATTGTTATTTTAGCGCTGCACAGTGGGATGGAAATTTGAGCAAACAATTTACAAAATAAACGAAGCGCTTGGCGGAAACTTGGGGGCAAGAGAACACTCCTCTTAAGCAGCAATCAATATACAAATGAATCATCTACAGTTTGTATCCAAATATTGTGTGCACTACAGATGGCAGCGAAATTCAGCGAAATGAAGCGAAATTCGATTGCAGTCAGCATGGAATTGCTTTGTCGCTGTGGACCAGAATTTATAGCATTCAATTTCCAGTTTCCGCTGTCTGGCTAAATATTTAAGCCAGCTCATTAGTCGCGATTCCCGCGGCGCGGAGCCGCACTTGGCCAGAACGTGCTATCGCATTCAATCCGGGCTTTAAGCGCCAACTCCCGAGTGCATTATGCGCTCCGCCATCTTTCCGCCAGAAATCTGGGCGAATCATTGTGGCCGGCGATGCACTTAGCCGACCCGCAGTGCCTACAAAAGAATACTACACCATCTCCTCCACGGCATTTTTATTTTTGAGCCAACTGCCCGCATTGCCGGCTGCCTGTTCCCAGTTCGCTGCTCCTTTATGCTCTGTGCTCCACGCACACACACAATGCGACTGCCGCACATGGAGGCACCCAGAGATGCCCGGAGATGGCCCAGAGATACGGGAGCATCGATGTCGCTCCTGGTGGTGTGGTGGTGGTGGTGGCTGCTGGCTGATGGACATTTGCTGGCAGCTCTTGTGCCTCCTCGGCTCCCTTCCTTTATGCGCCACAAATGAAAATGCAGACAGACAACGGGCGCCAGCCGACGACAGCAGCAGCAGCAACAGCAGCAGCAGCAGCAACAGCAGCAGCAACATTGGCAGCAACGTCTGACGATGACGTCGCATTTCTGGAGACAATGAAACAAACTGGACCCGGCACAGATCCCAGCCGAGTTCGTTGACAACTGTGTCTCGTCCTCGCCGCTCGTCCTTTTTGCCGTCCCCGCTTCTATTTGTTTAACATGCATTTGAATTATGAGCCAACTGAAAGGCATACTAAACCCAACAGCACACACACAAAATAACCAAACAACTTTGGCTTTAATTCATAATTATTTTTATGTCAGCGCACTCATTAGGAGTTGCAAGCTTTTCATTCCATTTCCATTTTCACTTCCAACTCCCAGCTGCCTGCTCCTCATCATCCATTTTTTACTGCCCACATTTATGCCATTTTGCCATTTCCCATTTCCCATTTTCCTTTTGCACTTTATCCCGGCTTTGTCATTTGCATTCCATATTTGGACTCCTTTTAGCATTTCAAATGTTCCCACTGCACATTTCGTTCATTTAAATGGCCCAACATTTTCTGCTCCGTTGTGCATTTTGTGACTTTTAATTGCAGTCCTCAATTACTGAATGGAATCAATAATAAATTGGGCGCCACATGAACTTTGCTCCTTTGCTGACTTTAAGAGCTGCCATTCAAGTTTGGCTTAAATCGGTATTGCCAAAGTTTGTGCAAACGAATTTCTTACGAAATCGAGCCCGTTCAGCGTTATTGCAATTTAACAACTGCAAAAAATATTTAATTTTCCTCTGGCAATTTGTCAACTGGGTGTGGCCCCTCAAAAGCCCAGACCAAGCCAGACTGAATCAGACCAGACCAGACCAGATACACACAGCCGGTCCATACACATACGATATATATATAAATTATCATTGCCAGCCAAAACTCAAATACGATAAATTGCCAGGCAACCGGGCAGCAGCCGCGGCAGCAGAGGAAAAAATCTATAATTTACACAAAATTCGTTTCCGCATCGGAACGCTTTTCCAATATAAATGGTTACCATTCCGATTTCGCATCGTTTATAACAAATTCGTGCTGATGCCGCCAGATATGGCCATAATCGCATCAGACTGGACCCCTGAACTGGCGACCTTAGCCAACTCTCGATAGGAAGTGTGCCAAATGGCCAGGAGACGGGGTCTAGTCCGCTACAAATTTGGCAACTGTTTTTGGTTAATTCCATTTGGGTGCTGGCAGCCGTTGCTGGGCTAATGGTATAATATTCATTATTATTCATTTTGCAGGCATGCCAACAGTCACACTCCCAACTTGATGCACTATTTTATTGCTTCTAAGTTAAATGTATTTGGTGGCTTTCTAAAGGTATCTTAGATATGATGGCTTTCTAAAGGTATCTTAGATATGATGGCTTTCTTAAGGTATCTTAGATATGATGGCTTTCTAAGGGTATTTTAAACCGACCCAAGTCGAGTATGATGGGTTTTTTAAACAGCCTCTAGACAGGAGTCTGTCAAGCTTCTTTCGGTTTCCAATTGACACCTTCCATTAACTTTTCGTCCTGTTTCTTTGGCCAATTCTTGCAGCGACAACAACATTGAAGACTGCTAACTGGAATTGCTTCGAACCATCACCATCACAAACGAAGAAACAACCACAACAAAGTGCTGCCAGCAACAAAACGTAATCAGGAATTTAAGCAAAACCAAAAAGAAACATCAGGGACAGCGAGGAAGACCCAGAGAGCATGTTCATGGAATTGTCATCGTTAGCGCGCAACTGACGCAACAGCTCAAGGCATGTGGCAACAGCAACAGCAGCAGCAACAGCAGCAGCAGCAGCAACACTGAGCGGCAGGAGCAGCATCTGGCAAGAGAAGCAACTAGGAGCAGGACAACCTCCGTGGACAGGTGGTGTGCTGCTGTAAAGCAGCACCATAGCTGCCATTAAAATAGACGCCGCGGCGCAACAGCAACGCTGCCGTCGTCACAATCAACGCCAGCGACAGCACCACCCGCATCATCGCCATCGCAGACGACGACGACGCAGCAGCAGCAGCAGCAACTGCAGCAGCAGCAACTGCAGCGGGCTGTTGGGCGCAGGGGGCGTGGCCGGCAGCTGCCCATTGCTCGCCACTCAGCAACTCATCGAGGAGCCGGGCAGCAGCAGCAACACTGGCGACGACGACGGCGGCGCAGCAGCAGCAACAACGCAGCAGCAACACTGCAACCTGCAACATCAGCAATCCGGTCGTCGGCGACGCTACGACGGCCTGTCATCGGTAGGCAATGCAACGCGCTGTGCAGCAACGGTAAGTGCAGTGAAAAAAATTACCTATGTACTGAGTAAATCGATTTGAGAGCTCCTTAAAAGTACGGAAAATATAATTTAGTCAGGTGTTGCACCTGCCCTTGCTATCAAGCATGCTAAAAATAAACCTTGGAGCACACCTTACACTTCAAGATAACACAGTTGCCATGAAAACGTTTTCATAATTGTCAATAATTTGCTGGGGAAGTTGGCCCTCAAGGAGCTGCGAAGATAGCCTCCGACGCGAAACTCAATTATCCCATCTTTACAAGTTACTTCCGAGAATTTCCCACGACCATTACGTGATCTCGTGTCAATCTCGCCAGCCGGAGCCTCCGTATCCGGAGGCCAATGGAAAATGTGAAAATGTGGAAAAGTGGAAATGTGAAAATGTGAAAATCTGTGCCTGCGACTCGGGCCTACGCCTGCCCATTAGCTGTCAGGTTAATGCACCCAAAATGTTAATAAAACACAAACACACAGCGGAGCATCGCACATATGAATTTATGATAAGCACACGCAGGGGGGCTAAAAAAAATATGTGGGGAGTGGCTGGGCCATCTGAATGGCAATGGACTGGGGAATTGGTATGGGAAACAGGCACTTTAAAGTTGCGACAGCGTGACGTGGGCAAACTTTCAGCGAGAGACGTGCTAATGAATTCCCCAGCACACTCTGTCTGTATTTGTATGTGTGAGTACTTGTATCTGCGTCTGTGGCTGTGGCTGTGTGCAGATATGTTGCCGTATCTGCGTGGCTCTGCCAGCGACAGTCGTATAATTTCTAATGCGATGCTTTTATGATCGCCGCACACACACAAACACTCTGGCGAAAAAACACCCACGGGTGCTGCCACGCACGTGTGCCAGCCTACTGCTAGGACGCATGTGTTGGTGTATCTGTGTGCTTGTGGAAATTAAAATGCATAAAAGGATAACAGCAGAGTTGTTGCCGTTGCTGCCAGCGACAAACCACAGGCGCGCATCGAAGCCGTGGGCTGTCAGCAACATTGTCATTGTAGGCGAATTTCGCCAGAGACTGCATCGACAAAAAAACAAAATGACGTGCAAAAAAACTAGGGAAACAAGGGTGGATTAAGCGAAAGCGAAAGCAAAAGCGCCTGACAAATTGTACTGCAGGGAAAATTGAGATTTTCGCGCTCATCAGCGACGCTGACAACAATGGCCCAAAGTGCACGTGTTGCTGTGGTGCTGCGAAACGCAGGCCACGTCTGGTTTAATTTTAGCACCGTCTATGGGTCCCTGAGCCCAAGCGAATGCCAGTGGGTTGAACGCCGAACACCTTGACACTACAAAACGGGGCGTATACGTAATACACACTGCATACTATTAGGCGCTCATAAAAAATGTAACGTTGCCGCATAAAAATAGATGCCAAACTCGAACCCTAAGCCAAAAACCCTGCTCGTCGCCGTTGTTGCGGCTTAGCGAAGAATAAACCATGCATAATGCCCCCAATGTTGTTGTCGCCACCATCAGCATTTGAGTTATAAATTTTTATATGATTTCAGCTCGACTTGTATCATAATTACGTAGCTGTGTGCCATTGTGTGAGTCTGCTGGGGTATAATAAAATGTACAACCTTTTATGGGCGCACTTAAAGTTTTGTGTTGTTAGTTGGAACTCCTTATCAGGCTCACTGGGAAAATGTACTGCCTGAATAGCTACTACAAGTACATAACGCACACAATATGTTAACCCATTTTCATGATTAAATTAAGGAGCAGCATAGCTTAAATACTTTTGCAAATTTAGTTTTTGCTCAAAGGAATACCAGTTCAGTAAAGTCCCTTGCTCGAATTCGCATGAATATAAGGAAGCAGGTTTACTTCAATGTGAAAAAGTGGCCAATCTTCCGATTTGTTTTTTTCTGCTGGTGCATCTAGCCTGCTCAAGTGTCTGCCTCTGTGATTGCGACTAACTGGAGGCACGTTTGGGCCAGAAGCCAAGGAAGCAGCGATTATTATTGGCAATCAAGTGGAGTGCCATCTTGCCTTTGGCTAGTTTGATCTCTGATTGCAGTCGGTGCGTCAGGAGAGAGTCGGGAAATTGCTCCGATGGGTGGCTTTCTGGCCAGGGGCATCGACAAGCTCACAGCTCACAAAGCAACCCGCTCCATAACATAAATGGAAATAAAATCAATCCGTCGGATAGTCCTCGTATCACAGGATGCCGTCTCTTCCGTCGATAAAAAGCTATGAATTTGGGTTAAATATTTTCACGTTCACTTCACTTCACTTGGCTGTCATCAGTGGGTAGTCACTCCCGCATTCGCATTACATCCAGCCAAAATCCAATCTACGTTTCAGTCATCCTCGTTCCTGCTACTTTTCCCCCACAGTTATGCAATGTACTCGCAACTCGCAACTCGTAACTCGTAATTCATAAGCCAGAAGCACAGCATGTAATATGCCTTCGATAACATTTTGCTCGTGTGACAAATTTTTGTCGCAACCAAAAAAAAAAATAAAAGGGTGGGAGGGAGAAAAAATCACGAAAAAATGCTGCAGAGTAACAGGAAAAGTTTGCCAGGAGGAAAGGACCTCGGCTGGCAAAAGGACAAAGTGTTAAATGTTGACATGTCATGACATTCCAAGGAGCAGCGGCCAAGCAGATGGGCCTTAGTCCACGGACAAGGGCTAACGAATCTGCAAAAGGACTCGGGAGACAGAGCGATGGGTCCTGGTCAGCTAAATCGGAAGCAGAGAGCGGGACAGAGAGGCAAAGTCGCTCCAACGAGCGGCTTACGTGCTGACAGCTGACAGGCAAACCAATGAACTACGATATGACATGGCCGCCGTTTCACCCCCGCTTCGCAGATCCTTTTCCTGGAATAACATCCACTGTGTGTGTGTGTTTGCTTGTGTGTGTGCGTGTGCTCTCTCTGTTTGTGTTTGTGCGGAACATCAACTAATATTGTCAACGCAACATTCGACTTGTTATCCCTTCCGCTCGCCTGACTTCCTCTTCTTAATTTCGTTTTGAACTCCTCGTCGTCAGCCATTTTGTCTGCCCTCTCGCTCTCCCTCTCCCTCTCGCTCTCTCTCTCTCTCTCTCTATTTCGCTGTCGCGCTGTCTCTGTCAGTTATTTGCAGAAATTTATTGAAATTGTTTGTCAAATTCCGTTTACTTGTTTTTCGCATTTTGCCAAAAATTTCCTTTTTTGCCAGCACCAAATGATGACAAGGACAAACAGACTTCCGTCGATGTCCTCTTGCGCCATTTTCTTCTCTCTATCTTCATCTGCTTCGCTTTTTTCTTAACTGTGTGTGTGCGTGTGTGTGTGAGTGTGCGTGTGTGTGTGTGTGTTTGGCAGTTAATCTAAGAAGTCGAAGTTGCTATAGGGCCGCTTGGTGGCATATCAACTATAAGTTGGTCCTTGCCTCGCGAGCCCCCATCCAGCCATTATATTTTTTATAAGTTGGCGCTATAAAATGTTGCCATTTCCCATATGCACGCTGCTCGGTTTGTTTTTGCATGCAATTCGCGCATATAGAGAGTAGGGCAGGAAGTCCCTTTCTCCTCATCGATTTAGGAGCGAAATAAATAGGGCACAAGCATGTATATAAATATATTCAAGAAGCGATCCAAGATTTTATTGATGTTGCTTGAATTTGAATGACATTGTAAAATTATACGCAAATGTATGCAGCCACCGAAAAAAAAGACAAGTATTCCATGCGACTTGTTCTGCATAAAAGAGGAGATATGACGGAAAGAAGAGAGAATTTCGTGTTCCAAAAACTTTTATGTGCATATCTATTACAACTTCTGGGTTATGTATGTGCGGCATATTGGGAAACTGTCTTAAACAAACAGATGCATGGGTACATATTTACCCATACGAGCAGCGTATGTCTATGCATAAACCATAATCAAATTGGCCTGGAAGTGGACGTTTAGTGGATGCTTCTAAGCCCATTCGAATCATAACTGAGCCATGAAAATGTAAATATATGAGTTGTGTCATTTCGGTGACTGTAAAAATGATTGACACGAAGTCTTGCCCTTGAGCAAGCATTAAATAAAGTTATATTACAAATGCCGAATACAAAAATTCATTTTAATAAACTTAAAACATGCACTTAAAAACATAGAATGTGTTTGTCATGGTGTCATGTTTCTTGTATTTATATAAACGAGTGTCAACTATTTCCTAAATATTTTAAGCACACTTGTTCTCTTAAAATGATTGCCACTTTGCAGATTTGCTACTTTCTACTCTGCAAAATTCCGGAATTAGTGTCTTGATGGTGTCATGTTTTTTTCAACCCTTTAAGCCCACTCTCAGGAATGCTTTCTCCTCTGTTCCTCGCAGAGGAGGGCTGTATGAAAATTGCACGATAATACGGCACCGAGAACACTCATCTAAATATAGGCTATGGCATAATAGGCTCAAGACGCTTTCATTCAACACTTTTTAGGCAGCAGCATGAAATGGCGCCAGCATGAAAGCCATTCACTCACACACAGGCAAAAAGTGGAACTGGAATGAATGGGCCAAAGGAGCAGGGGAGCAGCGGGAGCAGGGGGAGCAAGGGGAGCAGAAGGAGCCAAAGGACCAAAAGGAGTAATCGAGACACGCACGAAAGACAAAGGCCAAGAGCAGCAAGAAAAAAAAGGCGAATAAAAATGAAACGAACCCCTTTTCAAATTTCCAACGGATTTTCTTTGTTTTTTTCCCACTGCCGGACAAAAGGTGGCTGCGAGTTTTCATTTAGACGAATATTCCGGCCAGGTGGGTGGCTGGCTAACTGAAAGCCCTGAAACTCACGAAACAACTGAAAAAGTATTGTGTGGCAAAAATAAAAATGTCAATTTGCCAAATGTCGGCGAGCGGAAGTTCATGCTCCCAGCTCAGGTAGATGGGTCTCCCAACCTGAACGAACTTCAAAGCCGGAGTCCAGAGTGGTGTCAGCATTACCACAGCAACCACCACCAGCAGGGCAAAGTAATTTCCGAAATATCGTACTCAGATGC